GGTATTGCTTGTTGAGTGATAAAGTTGGTTGACAAGATTTGGTCAATTATTTTATTTCAAAAAGTTTGTTTCCCAAATTTATCCATTCTCCTATCCTACTACTACACGTATCCTCAACTACACACCCACTTTGTTAGATTAGATCATGTGGGATATATTTATAGATGTATATCAAAAGAAGACATATGTATAAGCACACGGTTGTAGAGAAAGAAGAGTGTTGAAATCAGGTAAATTACAGACTCCATATTTATGCTGTGTAAAAGGAATATTACGTTATACCTTAAAAAAAAGGGTTTATAGATACTTATACCTATGGTATTGAAATTTAAAATAGGAAGTCAATTTCAAACAATATAAATTCTTGAAGCAACGAGAAGGATTTTTGGAGCGTGATTTCTTGGATTTTGTCATCCAAAAATTCTAACGATCTAATAAGGTAGGATATGAGGTGCAGTGTTTTTATGTCCCATGTAAATATTTTTTTTTATGCTGATGAATTTTATACTCATGAAAGTTAAAGTTATAATATGATATGTTATGATGTGAATGATATGGTCATTCCGGTACAACAATATGATATGATATGATATGAGCTCCTATCAGATTTTAAAGATATGAGACGGTATGATTTTTCTGATATATGTTTTAAAATTTTTATATGGGATCGCACCATTAATTTTTATATCCTACTGAGTATTTCCATGTACTCACCATTTTCCCTCCTCCCCATAGATTAGAACGGGTTCGTTGGTTGGCAGGCGATGCGGTGGAGTTGTAATGCCAGAAATTATGAAATTCAAGATAAATAAATTCTGAGTAACATGATTAGCAAGTTTTATTTATTTATTTCTTTTTGCGTTATTTCAGTTTTATCTTCATGTTAGATTTGAAGTTTAATATTTGGAACATGGTTCAATTAATTATGTTTTCCACAGACTTTATTTATTTTATAGATGGAACTAGAAAAATTTTCATGTAGAATGTTTGACATAATTTATTTAATTATGAAATAAATGTTTTAGTAACGATTCC